TTCTATAATGTATTTTATATAAATAGGCAGCCTTTTAATTCATATAAAAAGATAGGATTTGATAAATCAGTTTCTAGTAGTTTTAAGAGGCAAATAGAATTATCATGTTATACTTTAGTTTTAGTAATTTATTTTCTTTATTTTCTTTTCTTTTCTTTTATCTTTTATTTTTTTTAACTTGTAAATAAACTTTATTATTTTAAAATATAATTACTTGATAAATTGTAAATTGACATTTGTAAAATACTCATATAAATACATTTCTTTGAAAAGTAATCTATAAGTGAATTTGATAAATGTTAAAAATTACTATGCAATTAAAAAGAATCAACATTCAAAGTCCTTGTCTAATAGATTTAGTTTGCAAAAATTACATATTAATACTATTAAAATCTTTGCCTAATTAAAATTCTAATGTTTTCTATTTGTACTATTATTCATTATTAATTGGGATCATTTGATGCTAAAATACAAAAAAATAGGAAACTAATTAGATCAAATCTGATAATCCAGATTTAATCTGATTAGTCTTTTATTTATCATTATTCAATTAGTACAGATTAATAAAAGATATAATATTAATAATAACTACTTAAACTTTTTTTTGAAAAATTGTAGTTTTGTCAAAAGATTTCATCTCTTTAATATTTTTATATAAATAAATATAAAATTATTATATTTTTTAATGTATTTTAATTCAAGAAATTTAGATCAAGTTAAATATAATTTCAGCAATTAAGTAAAATAATTTTATCGTTAATAAAAAACTAGTTTCGTCATTTTAGTTTCGTCTAATTTTATCAGATATCACTATATGTTATATAAATATCTATTAAAAAATAATTTTTATTCAGTAAAATTATATATTAATATTATTAATACAATCACATCTATCTTTATAATAAATAAGTATTTTAAAAAAAAAATAATGTTATTTAAGTCATAACTGATTATCCTAATCAAATTTTCTTAAAAACTATCATATCATAATATCTTGTTAATAATAGTTCTTCTGAAATTTCAGATGAAATTTTTTTTTGATAATAAAACATTACATATTTTTCTAAATAACTGTAAATTGAATTTTCTCTAATACCAGCTATTTTTTTTTTCATAATGTATAAATATATATTGATAAACAAAAATCATTTGCTTAAAAGTTAAAATATAATATATAAACTTACTTTTAAAATTTGCATATAATACATAATAGAAAATTATAATAATAATTGAAATAAAATTTGTTATATTTCTTACTATATTTTTAATATAGTTTCAGATAATTTCAGATTTTAGAGTTTTATTATATCCTTCACTATATTTTAATATAATTTCAGCTATTAATTGCTTTTTTGAGTTTTGTCTCTTATATATAGCACTTATAGAGCTCTAAATCAGGTTAGGTTAATTTATAAACTAATTTGACTTGACTTGAAAAAATTCAGATTACATAGACAAATTTCAGATCAATATTAGGTTGAAACTTATAACCTAACCTGATAAAATTTAAGTTAACCAATTATATTAAATAAAATAAAATATTTAAAAATATTTTTTTTGATTTATTTTTTTAAAACATCTTTAATTTTATTTAGCATATTTTCTTTTTTTTAAAATTTTGAATGAGTCAGATTGAGCGAGTTTTTGTCAAATTCAACTCGACTCAAAAAAATCAAGTCAAGTTGAGTCAAGTCAAAAAAATTTTTAAACCTCAACTCGACTCAACTTGAGTTATTCATTCTAATTAAACAATAAATCATCATTCTAAAGGAATAATAAAAGAATCATTTTAAAGGAATGATAATGCATCATTCTTAAAGGAACAATAGAAAGAATCGTTCTAATAGAATGATAAAATATTGTTCTGAAGGAACGATAGAAGAATTGTTCTAATTGAACAATTAAACATTATTCTAAAGGAACGATAAATAAAATCGTTCTGATAAAATGATAAAATATTGTTCTAAAGGAATGATAGAAAGAATCGTTCTAATAGAATAATTAAACATCATTCTAAAGGAACGATAGAAAGAATCATTTTAATAGAATGATTAAATATCATTCTAAAGGAATAATAAAAGAATCATTCTAATAGAATGATAATGCATTGTTCTAAAGGAATAATAGAAAGAATCATTCTAATAGAATGATTAAACATCATTCTAAAGGAATAATAAATAAAACCATTCTGATAGAACAATAAAATATCATTCTGATAGAATGATAAAATATTATTCTAAAGAAACGATAGAAGAATTATTTTAATAAAATGATAATGCATCATTCTAAAGGAACAATAGAAAGAATTTATAATATATCATTTTTAGAGAATGATAAAAGAATCATTCTGATAGAATGATAATACATTATTTAAAGGAACAATAGAAAAATCATTTTAAAAGAATAATAATACATCGTTCTTAAGGAATGATAAAGAGAATCATTCCAATTGAACGATTAAACATTGTTCTAAAGGAACAATAGAAAGAATCATTCTGATAGAATGATTTATTATCGTTCTTAAGGAATAATTTAATTATTGTTTTAAAAAGAATGATCAATTATTGTTTTTAAAGAATGATTCAATTATCATTCTAAAAGAATAATTCAATTATCGTTCTAAAAAGTACGATTCAATTATCATTCCAAAAAGAACGATTTGATTATTATTCTAAAAGGAACAATTTATTATTATTCTTAAGGAACTATTTGATTATCATTTCAAAAAGAACGATTTATCATCATTCTATTAGAATGTTCCTTTAGAATGATGTATAATCATTCTATTGGAACAATTCTTTCTATCATTCCTTTAGAACAATACATTATTGTTCTATTAGAACGATTCTTTTATCATTTCTTTAGAATAATATTTAATTGTTCTTTTATCATTCTTTTAAAATGATGTATAATCATTCTATTGAAACGTTCTATCACGATGATTTATCATTTTATCAGAATGAAACTTCTATTATTTTTTTAGAACTATGTATATCATTCTATTTGAACAATTTTTTTATACTTTCTTTAAAAAAAATTTGTTAAATTTTTCAGCTTGATTTTGGGCTTGAGTTTTGCTTAACTTTGGACTCAAGTTTGTACTTGAGTTTAGCTCAAGTTATTTCAAGTCAAGTCAAGTTTAACTTGAAACTCAATTCAAGTTAAATAAGTCCAATTTTTTATGATTTGACTTGACTCAACTCGATTCAACTCATTTGACTCAAAAGTTGGCTCAGCTTATTTGGAACTTTACTTTTCATATTCTAATTTAGTTGTTTATATAACTAGAAAATGGTTTCAAAAACCATTGTTAAGTCTAAAGCATTATATTATGTAATGAAAAAGACCAATTATATATTGACTCAATTTTTGAACGAACAGATAACAAAACCTCTTGTATCACTAATTATAGAATTATATAATCCTTTGTTACATTCCAGACTAATTATTTTGCAATTTATTATAAACAATAAATTAAATTTTAAATTATAAACATTTTTTGCAATTACATTAACCAACAAATTATTTTTGATTTTTTTTATCTGTTTAATTACTTTAAAGAAATATTTGAGCACTTTATTTAAAAGAAATTAACTTTGATCATATAAGTAGTATGTTTATAGACAAATGAGAAAATTATATATAATGTATAATACTATAATAATTAGTCTAGAGCATAAGTAAAGGATTATTATGATATAATAATGTTAATGAAAAATGTCATCTGCTCAAAATTGAGTTATTATGTGATTAGTTACTTTTATTACATGTTTCAGATTTAATAACAATTCCCATAAACCGTTTTCTAGTGTAGGAATGATGATTTTCTGTGGTGATTAAGGATGAATTCTGTGTGATAAAAGTTAATTCTGTAAAATTCTGTGATTTGGTCAGAATTATACAAGGTTAGCCAACATTACTGTTTGCAAATTCTGGCCAAGCTTAATGTCAACCAGCATTACGATAATTGCAAATCCTAAATCAGGCCAAAATTTTGAACCCTATTCTGAAATTCCGTGAAACAGAAAATCATTGTCCCTGCCTAAATAAATCACGTTTTATATAGAAATATATTATCATGTCATCCAGGCTGAAAATGCAAAGCTGCAGCAGATTATAAAGGATAATGCCAAGCGTGATGTTGATAGTTCTAAACTTAAGGCCAGAATTGAGGAGTTAGAGAAAAATAAGATAGATACTACTAAACTCGTGTCTGAGAAAATAGAGCTTAGAAATAGACTCACAAAATTGGAACAGCGGCAGTTGCAAAATGATAATTCTTTTAACAGTTCATCTAACTTAAATTCGGTTTTCATGAAAAATCATTCAAGGATAAGAAAAGGAAGATTATTTGCTTAAGCAAACACTTGACAAAATACCTGACTCAGTTATAGTTCATTTGAGAAGTGAAAACTTAATGGTGTACTCTAAAGGCATCGGAGAAAAGGTATAGATTCTTTCTTGGATGATGTGGATAAGAAAAGGGTTAATGATAAGATAAGGCAGAGAAAATGAGAGGAAAAACTTCATGAATCGACTGCTCAGGACCTAGCGAATGTTAGCATCTGTGAAAAAGATGATCAGATGAATTCAGAAATTTCGGGGGAGTTCAAAAAAACTGAATAAAATTCACGATAAGAGTCAATAATCTTAACCACCTTGCCTCTAGCAATGAATCCCATCAATTCAAAACAAATATTTTTTTATTGAACTAGATACTGTATATTCGATTAAATTGGGGATTTTTTTTTCCATTATAAAAAAAATTAATACAAGTCTAATTTTGACGGTACTACGAATCCTAATTACTTGTTGTTTATTAAAAAAAATTAATATGTATGTTATATAATTTCTATAAACTTATTATTATTTTTTTCCAATTTAAATAATTTACAGAATAAGTAAATAAGTGTTCATTTGATATTATTATATGATCTTATTTTTGTGTATTCATAATAAGAAGCATAAACATTAATATTATTACTTTTTCCTACATAAGATTAATTCATTCTACTAGTTTCTACCATTTTTTGCATAGCCTGAATTAATTCTTCAGGAGAGGAAACATGCCACCCGGCTAGTGTTTTCTTATTAGCCGCACCAATTGTTGTGCAGAAATAGCTATCATTTGGCAACTCTGATTTTCTCAATGATCTAAACATATCTTCGTCAGTTCGATCATCTCCAGCGCAGAATACAAAATCTACATCTGGATGAGACGCCAATAAACGCTTTACAATTTCTCCCTTTTGAATAAAAAAAATTAATATACGTCTTACCATTGTAGATGAAAAATAAGCATAGTAATATCAGAATACTTTTAACTCACTTTATTAATTGATGTTGGTCTGACCTCTAAATTTTTCTTTCCTAATAGAATTTCGACAGGTAATTTCGGAAGAATTGCATTTTCAAGATGATTTTGACACTCTTTGGCTTGAAACGCACTATTTACATAAATAATAGTAAGAATAATAATAATTTAAAAGTAAATGACTGGCATTACGAGTTTTAATATATCCAGTATATTTAAATTAATAATACTTTACCCATACTCCGGGTCTGCCTGACGATAATGCCATGTAATAGAAGAACGTTTGTGTTCAATAAAAGATCCTTGTGTACGTTCAGTGTAATATATAAAGATCTCTAACACATCATTTTTCCAGCTCATATCTATATTTTCTGTTAGGTTAATCCATTTATCACTATCTGGATTCTTAAGGAAACTCCCGTGCTCTGCACTATCAAATTAAGATAATGATTTTTAGTTATTATTATATTTATAAGTTTACATCAAGATATAACATTTACCTAAATCCAAGTTTTTTAACAGAGCCGAGCCAATTTTCCAATGTATTTGAATCACGTCCAGAAACGACCCAAGTGGTGTTATTAGGATCATTAGTAAGTTCCTCTAATGCCTCAAGCATACGAGGTGGAGGAACTGCCGCGCTTGGAGTTCTCACGATCGGTGTTAAAGTTCCCTAAAAGAATAATTATTTGAAAACAGAGGCATTTGTTCATTAAATAAATGAATATTAAAAATCAACTCACATCATAATCGAATAGCAATAATCGTTTTTTGGCAGATTTATATTTTTTTTGTAAATAGTCCATATCGAGATATGGGGTAATACTTGATTGATTGTGGTTATTCAGACTAGCAACTAATTCATTGATAAAAGACTTTGCCCAAAATTGGGCCGTATGAACGGTAACATGTTTGTATAGTTGCTGTAAAGAAAAACTAAGTCCATAAATATACTTTAAATTTCAAAAAAAAATATGCGATAAAAAAGTATGAATTTGTACCATATGCTTTGCCTTTTTCTCTTCCGAAGGCAAACTTAAGGCATCATTGATTGTCTTTGCAACTCCATCATAATCCCAAGGATTTACCATTATAGCAGCTCCTAAAGACCCTGCCATTCCTGTAAACTCGCTCAAGATAAGTGGACCGTGATTTTCCTGCTGACACATGATATATTCAAGTGATGTAGTGTTCATTCCATCGCGTACAGAAGTAATGAGACCAAGATCTGCAACACTTAAGAGCGCATAATATTCATCCTGATCCATATGATTATGATAATGATGAACAGGAGTGAATTCAAGAGAACCGTATGTGCCATTTATCTTAGCAATGACCTCTGATACTTTTTTCTCTAATTTTGGTGATTCACTTAGAGCTGGGGAAGTGACTTGTATCAAAACAACCTTTAAAATCATGAAAATTTAGAAGTGCTTTTTCAGGAATTATTTTATTTCATTAAAAATTCTAAACGATTTACCTTTCCTTGCCATTTAGGATAATCTTCCAAGAACTTTTCGAAAGCGTGTAATTTTTGAAGAACACCCTTGACCAAATCTAACTTATCTCTCCCAACGATTATCTTCTTGTCCGCATACATTTCCCTAATTGCTGCCATCTTTGGTGCAACATCAGGATGCTTCCTAATATAGTTATTACAAAGTAATTCGTTATCTATTCTTATCGGTTAGGAGTTTAACTAATAATAATTCATACCTTTGGGCTTCGACTCTCTCAGAATCGATCCCAATAGGGAAAGTACCGATGGATACTATCGATCCCTTAGCATCTACACCACTCGGTGTCGATTCATAACCCAAAACACGCGTGCAATTACTAATAAAATGCCTTGAATATGAGTATGTCTTAAATTTAAAAATTGTAAAAAATTAATTTATATAAACAATAATCATAATCATTAAATTCAAATGTGATTTGAAGATACCTGAAATCCGATTTGATTTGCTCCCAACATTCCATTCAAAATTTCTTTTCTCTCTATTTCATCGAATCAATTAATAATGATCAAATCGACTCGATGAATTAAACTTGTGAACATGAATAAATATTTGCAAAAAAACTCACTAGGTAAACACCGGAAAATTTCAGAGGAAGGGAATGGGGCATGAATAAATAAACCAATTGCAGCATCGGGGAGTATTTCTCGTAACATTTCAGGAACCAACAAAAGATGATAATCATGGATCCATACTATGTTTCATTTAATTTAGTTAATTGTTAAATTTTTGATCGACTTTTATTTTCAACTAACCTAGATCCCCCGGCTTATAGATCTCCACAATTTTATCTGTGAATCTTTTATTAACTTTAACGTATTGATCCCAACTCGTTTTTTCTTCGCGACCATCAGTAGCGGTATCCCATAAAATGTAATGAAACAATGGCCATAATACTACGATGAAGTAACATGAAATAATCGCAACGAGAGAGATCATTAAAAAAGGAAAAGAAGAGAGGTGAAAATCACGCGAATTATCAAAAGATCACGTAAAAAGTGTGCTAATAAGGTTAATAAGATATGCAAATAAAAAAGGGTGTCCCTTGTTTACAACTTTGTTGACATACCATGTTTACAGTACCCATCATAATGACCATGATGTTCGGCATTTTCAAGAAAAACTGGAGAAATATTTGCTTTTTTTAAACATTCTTGTATTGATTGTTTAAATTCTTCTGAAAAATCGCTAAACTCAATTGCTTTTTCTTCGGGATCGAGTATTGTTCCAATGTAACCCACATAATGATTATTCCAAGTAGAACTTAACGAATTTAAACCAGAGTAAAGAGCAGAGTGGCCTCGACGCGGTTTTAAAACCCAATGATGTGAAACGGAAGGATTTTCCGAAATTTGTGCGGCGTTTTCGAGCAGTGGTGTGTAAGGTATCATGTGAGTAACATTGATTATACGGTTTTGTTTAGCCGTTCCATTAGGAGCGTTTTTACTATCCGCTGTAGAGACCATGATTAAAAAGATAAAATAAAATTTAAAGGTTCTTATTACGAGATTGCATAATTTTTATATAAATTTTTTTACATCAGCAGCTATTACCATTAAAGTTAGCGTAGTATTTTTTAGGTACGGAATATTGCATCATAAGATTAATCGATAAAGATAAAAGAGATAAAGATAAATAATTCCCAAATGGGTGACATTTGATTTTGAGATAAGATTTCCTTTAATTTTCTTATCAAATAATTTCCAAAAAAGAAAAAAGAAAAAAAAGATGTAATGATAATAAGATTTCGTAATAATGATGAAAGGAATCCTTTTTACTTAAATAAGAAAAAAATTAATAATATAAAAAAGTCAACGTTTCGGGGTTTTTCTATTTAAGGTAAAGTGTAATTTTATGCGAAATTTAATTTGGCAATTAGGCAAATTCATCTTGCATAAATTTTGATCCAGAAAATCTATGAATCTATGAATTTTTATATGTAACGACTGGCGATTTTTGAAAAGAACAGCATAACGCAAAAAGTGCAATAATAAATGATGAATGGTATTTTCTCAAATGTAAATAAACATCATCCATATCATATTATTCTAGAAACCAATTTCATCAGTATTCCAAATATGGCACTTGCGATTAAAAATTGTGGCAATGAAGATGGTGACTGTTTCGAATTGACATTAAATAGGTGAAAATTTTTAGAATCTGATCTCTCGGATTCACACGGAGATTCCTTTAAATGTTTCAATATTTAAATTATTAATACATAATTAATCTACAATCTCAAAAAAAAAAATTAAAAAAAAAATACTTGAACACGATTACCTTATTGAAACTTGATTTGCTTAATATGTTGGTTGCATGATCAACATCTGAATTTGATATGTTATATTGTTGACCCGTAAGTTCTACATTCTGTACGCTTCCAAAAAAATCTGTTACGAGAACCTAAGACATAATTGATCAGGTTAGCAAAGAAAGTAAAACAATAATGAACGCCAAGCATATAAAACCTTGTCCAACGGTCTTCGAAACAGATCACTCCGAACTCCAGGAGTCGAATGTATTAAAGTTGGATTATATGAATTAAACAAATCTTGCAAAGTCGCCTTGCTTTGCATATCTACTTTTTCCAAGAATTCTAAATTATAATAAGTATATCGATCAATTACTGCAACACCTATGTCTGTATCCATATGATGCTAAAATATTTAAAAATTTAATTAAATTAATTAAAGAATTTCTTAAATTAAATTATTTTAAAAAACATACCGAATAAGAATTTTCTCCAAGTTTACTACTACCGGTAGCTAATATATTAGGTGAATATATTTGACTATACATTGTGTTCGCCTGACATGTATCAATCATGAATAAAACTTCATGATACCTAGATTAAAAGAAAAGAAAAACAAATACATATAGTAAATAAAAAAAAAAAATTGGGAAATTTGCTAGGGAAAATCGGGTTCAAAGAATTTTTTTGACAAAAATTATGATCTTATTGCATTTTAATCTAATAATATCATATATAAAAAGCACCTAGCGATATGTATATAACTTAATTTTTCTTTTTACCTTCTCTTTTCCCACATTTGTTCGAATGCATCTGCCAGATCAAAACTACTTATTTCTTCAGCATCTTGAAATTTCAAAAATTCATTACCGCCATGACCGGTCATATATACTAAAATATTTGACCGATCATCGGATAGTAAACGTTTAGATCGAGGTGTATCTGGAGCGACACGGCCTAAAAATTTATTTATTAAATTTTAAAAAAATTAATTAATAATGATTTATGTTGTTTTTTTCAAAGCGTTAAAGTCTTACCAGTTAAGACTCGAATAAAGTTTTCCACAGTCACCTCATATCCCCTATAATCCACTTCTACATTATCTCCATACAAATCCAAATGCCTTCCGGCGTTATTGAATACTGTAGCGGGAAACGCGTTTCGCGGATTACAAGCTACATCATCGGCAAGCATTAAAATAATATTAGAGTCAGGAATACCCAACCGCTTTACCGTGCGATACATTGATAATGTATTCGCAATATGGCGATAATTAAACCAAAACCGGGAAGTGCACACCTGTTAAGAAGGGAAAAGAAAATTTCACTATATCTTGGTAAATTTCGGGATCAAATTCAGCAAATAGAATATAAATAAGCGTAAACTTTGATACCCTACCAAAACTGCCCAATTATTAGTGTGCCCTCCTTGACTAAAAAAGCTGTCTACAATAGTTTCAGTGTCATTTTGGGCCATAGAAAATTGAGAAATAATCATACATATTATTATTGTTTTTGTAAAAAATTTTGTAAAAGATAATTTTTTAAAAGCCATCGAAAAATATTACAAAATTTTGTTTCGCAATTATATATATATTTTTATGATGTCAAAAATTGACAGAGGAAGATTTCATAATTGATTATCTACCTCAATAAGGAATCGATGTCAAATAGTTTGAACCGAAATTGAACCAACCATCATTTCTATACGTATTTATACCACGGTTCCTAATCAATTTCCGTGACTTTTTTTACTGATATTTTCACGGTATAATTGACCAATCATAAATCATATTATTAAAATTATTATTATAAAATATAGAATACATAAAATAATTTTAATAGCTTATTTTTGAATATAAAAAGAAAAGTTCGAAAAAGTACAATTATTAAATATTGGTAAGGATTTGAATTTAAAGAAATTTCTTGATAATGTAATGTTCACCTTCATGCATAACTAGTATTATAGATAAACAAAAAAAAATATGATATAAAAGGTTTTAGTATTATTGAATTAACTCTAGATTAGGAGTAGTGATACCTGCCTAAACTCTTTTTTGAAAAATTGTAGTTTTGTTTTTCTTTAATATTTTTATATGAATAAATATAAAATTATTATATTTGTTAATGTATTTTATTTAATTCAAGGAATTTAGATCAAGTTTAAATATAATTTGATAATTAAGTAAAATAATTTCGTCATTAATAAAAAACAAGTTTTGTCATATTAAGAAAGGTAATTTTATCAGGTATTACTAATTAGAATGTTATAAAATTTGTTGGATTTGTTGAGAATTGATAGCTATTAAACCAGATTTTTCGCTAAATTCATATTTTTGCAAATCATGTAAGTTATAAATATTGTACAAGGCGTTATTTATATTGGTTAATATCACAAAGTGACATTAACCAATGTAAATAATCATTGTACAATATCCATATTATTCTACAGCTAAAACAGATCATGCTTAAAAGCTCTGATATTTATTTTCTAGTTAATAATGATTTTTTCAAGTAAAACTTTCTCTTTTACCAATATAAAAAGGGCAAATCATCAAATTTTCAGGCAGCATAGGCTATCCTTCCTCCGGTTTATCAAATAAACCATAATAAAATAATATTTCAATATTTTGTTACCATGTATGCAGTTGCCTTTTCTTTACAGTCAATTTCAACTCTAATTTTATTATTTTTCTTAATTTCTTTTGTTTACTAAAGTTATTATTAGCGTGAAAAAATAATAGAATGTATTGTAAGTATATATGAAGTTGAAATAGATCATTTCGAATATCCAAAATGGTTGAAATAGTTGAAATTATTTTGACTATTGAAGGTGAAAAGTTGAAATGGTCGAAATGATATCATATCACATGATTTTTTATATATAGAAAAAATAAAAAAATAAAAGATATAGGATCTCAGTCAATATCGTTCCAATTATATGAATAACTACCATTCAATTTCTCATGACTAAACGAATCCAATAAGCTAACATTTATTGATTTTGGATCATCCAATCTCAAGATAATCACAATTATATTATCAGTTGAAATTATGAACCAATAAATTCTACTTTAAATAAAAGAGTCTGGATTTCGAAATTTGATCACAAATATCTCAATATAGGCAAATCCAAAATCAAGAAAAAATCTCTTTCTCCCAAACGTCCAGTTTATTAAAAAGATCGACAAAATAAAAAATTATGTTAGTTACTAGAGTGACTTTCTTCAAATAATAACCCAAAAAAACTTATCAACAAAACAAATGAAATACTCCAGTTCATAACTCCAATAACTCAAGCTCCTCTATAAAAACAATTGATATTAACAAAAACAATATTTCTTCAAAAAAACAAAGAACTTTAACACTTTTGAACAAAGACTTAATTAGAGCTTTAGATTCGTATTCATTATTCAAATAATATTCGTATTTAATGAATATTCAAATAAGATATTTAAAACTTCTGAATGATTATTCAGTGAATAATCTGAATTTGAAGATCTTATTTGAATAAAGAAATTTATTCAAATATTCGAATAAGATTTTTATTCAGATTAACTTGCATATTCTGATATGCATGTTACATACATGAGACGATGAAAGTTAATGAATAATGACATCACTATTCGATAAATCATTCGTGTTAAATCATGGTTCACAGATTATTTATAACAATTATTTTTTACAAATTAAATATTAATTGCTTTACAACACGGTAATATCTAAATGTCTTTATATCAGTTTTTTATAATATAAATCTTAAAAATGCCACGTTCAAGCCTCAAAACTAGTAATAAATTTATTATTATTTATAATATGTATGAAAATATAAATATTTGCAATATAAAAAATTTTCTAATTTTCAAAGGTACTATTAATCGAAAATGTTCACATGTAGAAAATAATACCAATTCAAATGATCAAGAAAAAGAATTCCAACAAAATCCTGAAAATTCAAGTAATAAAAGTCACGTATAGAATCATTTTAAAGTCTTGGATAATAAAGTTCATGCTGAATGTCAAATATGCCAAAGAAAAGGTAAACAAGTATTATATAAATTTTACGGCTCTACAAGTAATATGATTTGTCATTTGGATATTGAATATGAGATTACGAAAAAAAACCTACAGGATATATAAGAATTTGTTAATTTTATTAATTTTTTATTAATTAATTAATTATTCATGCTAATTATGGCTTTTTGAAATTATTATTTAGGCGAAGAATGGAAATATTAAAGAATCTATGGATATTGCTTGTGAAAAAGCTACATTTAGAAAATAACCAGAAATTGAACTCTCTATGATGATTTGGGTGATTGATGATTGTCAACCACTCTATCTTTTGCGATCCCAATCATTTAAAGCTTTTATGAATATTGCATGTCCTAATTTTAATATTCCGGATGATGAAAAGCATAATGCATCATTGATAATGCATTTAATTGGTCAATAGAACAGCTTATTAGCATGTTACAAGGTATTCAATCTATTTGTATTACTACTAACTTATGGTTATTACGCAATGATGAACTATATATTGGTATTACAGCTGGATTGTTAGATCCTATTGACTGGTCACTCAAAGAAGCTTTATTAGCATGTGAAAAAATTGATGGAAAACATACTAGAGAAAACATTCAAAATGCTATAGAACAAATAATTGGAAAATTTCAGCTTAAACAAAAATTATTTGTTGCTACCACAAATAATAGTCCTAATGAAGTAAAAGCTATTCGATTAATGGAAATATTACACATACTATGTTGTGCTCATACCCTTCATCTTAGTGTTATTAAAAGTCTTGGTGCTACTGATACATTTAAAAAGCGTGTTACAAACCTCATCTTGTTTTTTAAAGGTAGTCCTAAACAAACAGAAAACCTTAGAGATACCCAACGCACATTGAATTGTCTAAAGGTATATAAAGTTTTGCTTGATGTCAAAATTCAGTGGAACTCCACCTATATTACATGGAACCGCCTATATGAATTAAAAGATGCAATTACTTACTTAATCATCATATTGAAAATTTCACATGATAAAAATGATAAAACTGATGGTGATTATTTGGAACAAATTAACCTAACTACATCTGAATGGAGATAATTTTTAGTATTTAATTATATTATAATTATAAATAACTAAAGAATTAATAATTATTTTATTTTTATTATTATAGCTTACTTTCTGAAATGTTAACACTATTGGCACCTTTTTATGAAGCAACTAGAATGTTATCAAGTGCGACATATGCCACATTAAATATGATATACTGTACCATGTGCTATCTTAAAAAAATAGTAACCCCTCCAGAAGGTCAATATGAAGAATATTATGCAAATAGAAATACACAGACAAATAATAATGGTAATCGAAATATTCATGAAAATACTGACCCTAGATTCAAAAATCATTGAGTGATTGAAGCCTTAGTTAATACTACTAATATCTTAGAACAAGTTAAAGCTACAATCTATTTAAGCATGTATCAATATTAGGATGTACCAAAAGAAACTACTCTACTTGCAGCTTTATTAGACCCTCAGTTCAAAAAACTTAAATTCATTACAGAAGTACAATGTAACATAATGATCGATAAGCTTAGACAATTATATCAAACTGAAATTGTAGAAATTGACAAACATATTAAGCCACCTAAATCATCATCTGTAGAAAAGTTGGCAAATATTAATCAAAGTTCTCATAAAGTTAATTATTTATTACTTGGAATCTATGAAGATTCAGACGAAGAAGAAAGCATATCTTATAAGGTATCATGATTCTTAGCTTTACCAAAAGAAGTTCAGGAATGTGATCCATTAAAATGGTGGAAAACACAAATAACCATTTTTCCAATTTTGTCTTAATTAGCAATGAAATATTTGTCAATTCCTGCTACCTCTGTACCTCGCTAAATGTTATTTTCTGATACTAGTCTTTATTTATCTGCTCGTCGTACTTGTTTAAAGCCAGAATTGCTAGGATCTATGTTATTTTTAAAAAGAAATATGAAATTGTTCAATATATTTAAACTAAAAGATCAGTAAAAAATAGTTTATAGTTTATGAATTATGACTTACGAATGTATAGGTAAATATATAATTGGTTTAAATAAAAGTGGACCTTACTAAATTTTTATTGGCTATTCAGTATTTCAGCAAATAAAATAGCAATTTTGCCTTAATAAATATATGATAACTCTGAAGTCTGAACTGAATATTCAGCAAATGATTTATTTATTTGAATAAAGTTAGTATATTCGCTAAATATTAGTCATTCAGCAAATATTCGAATTGACTTTTTATTTATTAAATAATTCGAATATTATTCAAATGGGAAATCAGTAAGCTCTAGACTTAATCGATATAGAAATTGAAAAATTATTTCAAACGTAATATTAATAAACAATAATGAACCATTAACCAAACAATCAATGGATGACGATATTTCTTCTAACAAGGTGATTTTGGATATGGATGTTGATATAACTTCACACTCTACTTCTTTTAATACCAATACTTTAAAACAAATCATAACCGACTCTATGCATGCTCTCAATAACACTGACAATATGTTTGAAGATACTGGCTTTAAATATATTCTACCTATCGCTAACTAAAAAAAATAAAAACAATCTTATTCCGATGAAATTGAACAAAATGAAAGGTCACATAACTAAGAAAACCAAAGCTACTTACAACATCATTACTGCTTTTATGTGTTTTTTCGCAAATGATAATATGTCAGATATAAAGGAAATACAATTGCAGAAAAACATATATTTATCAATTCCTTATTTGTTAGATACAATGGTTATCAAGGCTCCACCTATATTTCTAAATTTAGAAAGTTCACAGTCTATTTCCATTTAATGGAAGAAATGACATATTCTATCACAAAAGTATAAGAAATACAACATAATCCTATATTTACTATTGTTGACCCTGCAGCTAAAAAACTCAAATAAGATACCAAAAGGAAAGGATCCTTAAAGTATCAGATATTCCCTATTTGTTAAATCTGATATGTTACGAATTATTTTTTCAGATATGAAGCGATTACTAGATTTTTAATAATCATTAGAAGCCTGTGACAGATCGCCTTCATCATATTCAAAAATGCTGACATCATCAAACTATTCTACAATGAATTTTGATCAATCAAATTCCTCGAAATCACCTTCAGAGTTGAACCAATTAACCTCGATCTAATGCAGATTACTTTATGATAATAATATGAACTGAAACTTACTGGTCTTCCTTTTAATACTGATCAATAACAATTAGACGACTTTCTTGCATATATTAATGCTAGAACATGTTTATTCCACATAATCAACAATACTGACTCAAAATATATGCTTTCATAAATTTCACAACTCTCAAAGATCTTGATGCTGCAGTGACACAGTCTCAAAAATTTAAAGGAAAAACTTTGTACTAGATGAAACTATTACCAAACATTGTCGAAGCTGTGGAACTCCTGGATATGAATACAAAGATTGTACAAATCATAAACCATCCAATCCCTACAAATCACTCTATAATAGATTTAAACCAGAATCCTACTATCTTCTATGAAATATAATGTTCAATAAATTCAATGTTTTTACGCCATACATCAATATCCTCAAAAATGTTCCTTATAAGAAAGATAACAACCATTTACCTTCAGTAGCATCTAATGTTACTGACGTTTTAAAACTAGTTTAAGAAAAACTTGACAGTATGGAAAACAAACTTATCACGATTTGCGATGAGATAATCTCTATTAAAAATTAAACACACTACTGACTCTAACTATGTTTTCCCTTCACATAACGAGTACTTTCCAAATGAAGATACTATTTTACCACTGATTCACAATACTCAAATTTCAGCACTCCCAATGGTATATTAATCTCCTCTACTACTAATACAGAAAACTTCTAACAAATTGGTCTCGTCGAATCATCAGTTAATAAATCAAAAATGAAATGAAAAATTTGATCGCCATTATTGGCCCTATCATTCAAGCAAATATTAACTCCCAATGATAATACAACCTCAAATAACAAACAGAAATGGAATGTCCTCTATAATTCCATTAAAAAATCATAAAATTACTAATGTAAATCTTTTTTCAACTATTAATAATCCCAATTTACTTTTAATTGCTATATACAATGTTCAAAGCTGTATATCATCAAACTGACTCTAACAAATCGAACAATTTTTATTAATTTTAATTTAGATATTCTAAGCCTTAGCGAAACTCATCTTACCTATCTTCAAGCTAAAACTCTTAACAACAATTTTCATGATAAATTATATAAATTTTTCTTTTACAATTCAAATCATTTCCAAAACTGCCAAAGAGTGAGTTTTATCATTAGAAATAATTTATGCTCCCACATTTTCAACCAAGGCTTTTTTTTCGATAGAATATTATTCCTAGATTTTCAATTTAAAAACAAATTTAAACTACATATCATCCAAGTGTATTTGCCAGCCAATTACCATGATAAAACTCTTTCAAACATAGGATCCAAATTCAAAACAAACTAATGGACCTTTTAGTATAAAGCCAGAGAAATAATTTTCACGTTATTTTGATGGGTGATTTTAATATTGATATTTCTAGAACATATAAGACAAAAAGTAAAAAGATTTTATAAAATTTTCTATATAATATCATCAATCTTGATTTTATTCATACAATTTTTTCTTTTACATCTTCTTTTCCCGCTACTTTTACCTCAACTTCTAACTTCTTCTCCTCTTACATTGATTATATTTTATATCATCTTCTCTCACATATAACTTTGTATCTTTTGATATCCTAAACAATTCATCTTTCTTATACTCATTCGACTAACTTCCTCTTCTTATTTCCTTATACAAAAACAATTTTTTCAACTAACCCTCTAATGCTTACTTAAAACAACACAAAGTTACCAAACAGAACTTTCTTTTTAATAAAACAACTTTTTTATAATAGGACCTTTTTACTGACAAAATGGATCTTATCCTCAAAACTAATTTAAAATATAAAAATTATATTGCACAAGACCTCTGTACTTCTCAATCCACTCTCAATGCAGCTTGAGATTTTTTTGTCAACACTGTCATTACTTCTGCAAAGAAACACATTTCTAAACAAATGATCTCTTTATATCACAACTCCTTATTTACTTATTCTAACTCATCAATTCACAAACAAATTAAAAAATTATACAAGCTTTATTACAAGATAAACAAATTCCTTCTTCAATCACATCTACCACTATTACCCTTTTCTATTTCTTTTGATGAACATAAATCATTCTTATCTATTGCTTCCCATTATCATATTTCTACAGTTTCGATTGATGATCACTATATAGCAAATCACCTTCTTATCTATTTAACTGAACTTAAAGCTGACATTATTAAACTTATGTAAGCCAAATAACAGATCATATCTAGAAATGAAAACAATGATAAAATTCTAAAATTTATTAAATAAAGAAATAACAACTTTAAAGATTCTTCTACTAAAATGATAGATTCCTGTCTTGAAAGAAATCAAAAAGCTATTATTCTTGACTGAATTATGATTAATACAGATTCTCCAAATTAACATTTAGAATTAGTCTCAAATAAGATCAAAGTCCAAACTGCATCTCACTTTCAAAACATTGCTGGCTTAACAAACAGAGATGTCACAAATTATCCCTTAGATTGTCTAGCAGGCAAATTTGCTTGCGAAATAAAAAAAATTATTAATTTCTTTATAAAATATTAAATATTAATTTTAGTAATATTATATAAAAAATATAATTTAATATATATTTTATTAACTTTATTAACAAAGATTTTAAGTTTTTTAAAAGGTTTTTAA